GTTCATCGAATGTGAATCTTTAAACAAATGAAAAGTTTTGAACTTTTGGATGTGGATCTCCAAAATACAAAACCTCAACCTTTTGGATATGAATTTCCAATGTTTTAAATGAGAGCCTTTGAACTTAGATGTGAAACTCTAAGTTTTATTGCATGTGAGCCTTTGAACTCAAATGAAAAGCTTTGAATTTTTGGATGTGAATTTCCAAAATTCAAATGAAAAGCTTTAGACTTTTTGATATGAAGTCCAAGTTTGCCAAATAAGAACCTTTAAAAAAGCTTTGAACTTTTGGATGTGAGCCTCTAAAATTCAAATGAGGATCTTTGATGCGAGTCTTACAAGTTACAAATGCAAATTTTGAGATCTTGCAAATTCAAGAAGAAATTTGTCAGGTAAGTTCCTAATCCTTGAAATAGGATGTCTTGTGGTATCAAGATTGATTTATAAGACCTTTGGACATAATCTCCTGAAACTCCTTCAAACACAACTTTCAACTCTTTTGGACATGATTGTCAATGAGTAATTTACTTTTCAAAGTCGTGGTGCCTCTATTTAGAGGAGCAATTTATTTTTCAAAGTTGTGGTGCCTCTGTTTAGAGGAGCAATTTACTTTTCCAAAGTCGTAGTGCCTCTGTTTAGAGGAGCAACTTATCTTTCCAAAGTCGTGGTGCCTCTGTTTAGAGGAGCAATTTACTTTCTAAAGTCGTGGTGCCTTTGTTTAGAGGAGCAATTTACTTTTCAAAGTCATGGTACCTCTGTTTAGAGGAGCAATTTATTTTTTCAAAGTCGTGGTGCCTCTGTTTAGAGGAGCAATTAACTTTCAAAGTTGTGGTGTTTCTGTTTAGAGGAGCAATTTATTTTCCAAAGTCGTGGTGCCTCTGTTTAGAGGAGCAATTTATGTTTCTCAAAGTCGTTGAGCCTCTGTTTAGAGGAGCTTTGGTAAAAAAAAAAACAAAAAAACACAAAAAAAACATAAAAAACAAAAAAAAAATAAAAAATGACAATGTTGAGTTGAGTCTTGATTGGGTGTTTACGTCTTTGCGCAATTTCTGTTCACAGAAAATGTGTAAAGAGGGGCAGCTGTAGACACCCAATTGGGTCCAGGCCCAGATCAATTGGGCCTGGCCCAAATGGGTAAGCCCAATTCAATTTTTATCTTGTATTATTTTTATTTTTTTTTGGTATTTTATGTATTTTATTATTTATTATTATTGTTATGTATTAATATATGTATATCTTTATTTATTTATTTATTTTTTTGTTAATATTATATTTTTTTTTATAGTTATATTATTATTATTATTATTTTTATTATTTTTTTTTACCTTGTAATATTTTTTGGATTTATCTTATTTTATTTTTTTATTATCTGTTAATTTGATTTTTATTCATTTATCTGATTTTTTTCGATTATCTGATTATTATTATTATTTTTTGTTTTCTTTTTTTGATGGCTGTGATTGAAAGTTGAAGAATCCTATTGTGAATGAGAATTCAATCAGAAGAGTTCAGATTGGATTCAAAGATTGAATTTCCGTTCAAGGAGGAATTGGGATTGATCAGGAACTTCTGATCAATCCCTATAAAAGGGACCTCCTGGAACAGAATAAAGGACACAGAAAAAAATAGTGAGCAAAGCTACTGATTTGAGAGAAAAGGAAGCGTATAGGAAGCTAAAAAAACGTTTAGGAGTGTTCTGGGAGCTAGCAGAAATTTTTTGAAGATTTTTGGTGATTTTTTTTCTAGGAATTTTTGAAAAATTCCAGATTTCGGTTGAATTTTCTGACGAAGTTTAAATTTTTCAATGAAAATTCTGGCCAACCTTGAAATTTCCGACGATCTGCCCAGTTTTCGACAAAGAATCCCAGAAATCGGTGATCATCCGACCAACTTTCGATGAATTTTCGATGAAATTTTCTAGATTTCGATGACATTTTTCAGAATCCGACGAAAATTCTACCGGAGTTCTTCAGCCTTTTAGAGAGAAGAGAGAGGAAAAAGGAAGAAGAGAGAGAGAAGGAAGGAGTGTTCTATCGAAAAACAGAGGGAAAGACCTTATATACTCTTCCAAAACGACGTCGTTTTAACCTTAAATAACCCAGAGGATCCGCGCGTTTTACCGAGATTTGACCCGACCCGAGCGTCGACCCGTTATCTGACCCGCGCGTGTCTACCCCCTCCGAGCCGAGCCGAGCCGAGCTCCAAAGCCGCTTCTTCGAGCCGATTTTTTCTTCCTTGAGTCGAGCCGAGCCGATAGCCGAGCCGCTCTAGGTTTTTTTTTATTTATTTGTTTTTTTGTTTTATTTATTTTATTTATTAGATTAGATTTATTTAAAATTTTATATATTTATTTTATTTTTATTTTTGTTTTACTTTTCTTTATTTTTGTATCTTTATTTATTTTCACTTTTATTTTGTTTTATTTTCTTTAAATAAAAATCAAAAAAATATTTTTGGGGAAAAGTTGAAAGTATCAATTTTCCTTAAAAATAAAATTTCAAAAAAAGGGTTTTGAGGAAAAATTGAAAGTATCAATTTTCCTTAAAAATCAAAATTTTCAAAAAAATATTTTAGGGAAAAGTTGAAAGTATCAATCTTCCTTAAAAACAAAGTTTCTAAAAAAGGGTTTTTGAGGAAAAGTTGAAAGTATCGATTTTTCTTGAAAATCAAAGTTTTCAAAAAAAATATATTTTTGAGGAAAAGTTGAAAGTATCAACTTTCCTTTAAAATCAAAGTTTCCAAAAAAAAAAAAATATTTTTGAGAAAAAGTTGAAAGTATCAATTTTTCTTAAAAGTAAATTTCTAAAAAAATAATTTTTGGGGAAAAGTTGAAAGTATCAATTTTTCCTACACAAGAATAATTATCCTTTCCTTCTTTTCTATTTTGATTTTGATTTTGATTTTTCTTTAATTAATCCAACGATGGAGCCTCTACAAGTGAAACAGTAGTTTTCTTGCATACTCTTGAGGTGAGGAAATTTTCTCGATTTTTTGCTAAAAGTATTAGAGTTAATTGAGAATAATTTTCAATAATTAATTACTTGGTAAAATTTTAAGGCTCATTGGATAACATAAATTTAAGCTGGTACAATCTTTTGATGGGCGTTGTGAGGGTGCTACAACCTTCCTCACACGTAACTGAACTCTCGAACCCTGTTCTGGTTAACAGACATGAACCTATTCTTTTAGGGACCCTTAAACTTAGGTGTTCCCTGAAAAGACAGATTCCTTAGGTGGCCAATCGCACCTAGATAAAAAAGATTAGTGGCGACTCCCTAAAAGTCAATGTCTATCGATAGATCCCCGGATCTAGACGTTATGACACGTGATAATTTTTTCCTACGTACATTTTTTAAAGAGTTCTAGTAATATTATAATATTCAGTATCTATATGACTTTTCAATATCCATTTCAATTATTTTGAGGTTGACATCTGATACAAAATTATATTCATGTAAAAACTGAAATGAAATAGTTTTAAATTTTAAATAATAGTATTAAATTATAAACAATTATTTAAGAAAATTATTGACAAAAAGTTTTAATGAACTATATTAAACTATTTACCTTTTGTATTTTTTTAAATAAATACCGACTCTCTTTTGTATAAAGTATCTTATGAACATTTGTAACAATCAATCTTGAACTTTCATGAAAAAAATTATAATCATTAAGTTATAATTCAAAAATATATGAACGGCCTATCAACTCTTTCTATATTTTTTTTCACTTTGGCATCTCCATCTTCATGTGAACAAGTTTTATGTAAATTTAATTAAATAACATTAATATTCATACAAATTTAAAAAATTATTTTGAATATGATATAGTCTAATTTTTCATTTGAAACAATTTTTCAGTTTTATACTATAGAATTCAATGATAATAAGACTTTTTGCTATTTTTTGATGATAGCAGAACATTTTGCACCTCTATTGAATCCACCGTCCATTACAAAAATTAAAACAAAAATAGAAATTTAACTTGATAAAACTTTAAAATTTTAGAAATAATAATACTTTTACAAAAAAAAAAAAGCAAAGGAAATTTTATTCGATAATAAAAAATTGAAGAATAAAACATTTGCAAAGAAAGAAAGAGTTCCATGACTTTTTTGATTAAAAAAATGAAATAAATCAAATTGGTATATATCTCTATTATATCAATTAATCATATCATTATTTTTATTTTATATGAATGAGGAATATTAAATAAATAATCAGTTAAAAGATAAAATATATTATCTGATTAAGTAAAATTTATGAAAAAATAAAAGTTTTGTAGACAATAATAGTAAAAATATATGAATATATGCTTTTTGTAATTTTGTATATTGTAATATATAAAAAAAAAGTCAAAATTAAACTAAGAGAGTTTAACTCAGCAAAATAGAAAATAAAAAATAAAAAGAGTAATAAAAAATTAATGCTAAAATCCGTGAGAAGATGAAATATTATTTGAAAAATAAGTTAATGAAAAAATGATAAAGAATATATCATTTATTTTATTTATTTTACGTTTTTTTTTATGAAAATATGTCTGTTTATTTATTTTAATTTTTTTTTATGAAATATATTTAAAAGTTAAAGATAATATAATAAGTATTTATAAAAAATATTAAAGATATTAAATAATATTTTTAAAAGTTATGATAAATTTAATTATTAATATTGACTATAGATAAATTATTTTAAAATTAATTTTAAATTAAAATAAAAGTGATGTATATGATAAAAGAATTTCATTTAAATTTAAATTAATTTTAGATTAAATTTTAAAATTTTAAATAATATAATAATTTTTAAAATATATTATTTATAAATAATTTAAAATTAATAAATATATATACATATCATCGTAACCAAAAATTTTAAAAATTATCTTACGTATTAAAAAAAAAACTCTCATCGTAATCGTGTCAAGAATTACTATTTGATAACTATATATATATATATATTATATATATATATATATAATTACAGTCAAGCAAGCCAGTTCAGAAAAAAAAAAAAAAAGAAATTAAATAGAAAACCCGGATTGTCCAAATCGACTTCATTTGAACATCTTTTTATTTTACATTTTTAAACTTCCTTCTCTCGATCTGCAATTTCTTATCAAATCCCCCCCCCCCCTCTCTCTCTCTCTATTTAGATATCGCCATCGACAAGTTCCCTTTAGAAGTCGTCGTTTTATTTGTTCACCGAAAATCCTCGGGTAGATCTTCGATGGCCTGCCACTGAAGCTGTACGCCGCTGACTACGACGCCGGTTAGTCTTTTTATTTTGTCTTTTACCTCCCTTACGGTGGGACACTGAGGAATTTGCTTGTTTTGGGAAGGCCAGTTTTGGGCTTTAAAAAGGAATAATTTTTAGTCAAAACTGAAGCTAAGTTAGTGTAAAGGAATTGAAGTTTGGATTAGTTTATTGAAATTCAGTTAATGAATGATTATAATTTTGAATCTGAACTGCTTTGGTTTGAATTTTCATTGGTATTGAATTAAAAGAGTTGAATCTTATCTAATTAGTAGGAATGGTATTCAATTTTGATTGTTGGATTGTTAAACTGTGTATTAGAGTTACGATGCAAAGATTAAATGCTTAAAACTGTATGAAACTTGATAAAAGGAAGAAATCAGAGTTTTTTCAAGTTTATTTTATATATGATCTTTAAATAATCATATTTGTAGCTGTTTGCTTGTTGTAAGTTTATTCATCATGGCAGATTATGTTTGCTTTGATGTTATGTTTTTGCCTTTGAGTCAAAGGTATGGTTGCAGTTATTTTTTATTAAATTCCGAATGGATGTTGAATCATTCACATACGAGCATGAAATTAATGAGCATGATAATGTTGAAAAAAATGAATTAGAAAAATTTAGTTAGCTCATTCTTGGAGGATTTGCTGGGGTTTGGTTCCTGCTGAGAATCATTGATAACTTCTGTGGAAATTCTTGCTTTTTGTGGGTCTTGATTCGACTAAAATGTACTGGTGTTTCATTTGTTTTCTTTTATGAGTGCTCACTACTATGACATTACTTCTCCTGGCAGGTTTAGTTGTGAGAGATTGTCTATTAAGTAGTAGACGTAGCCATATTATTGAAAACCATGGGTACTGAAAACCCTGGTCGTCCGAATTTTCCCATGAGACCTTCCTCTACCCCCTTTGCTTCTGCTCCCCCAACTATGACACCTTTTTCATCATCTGGACCTGTGGTGGGATCAGAAGCGAGCAATTTTAGACCTACTCCACTAGGTGCTCCCCCAACTATGACGCCTTTCTCATCAGCTGGACCTAGCCCACCTGCTCGTTTTAGTGATTCATCAGTTCCATCTCCACCCATAACATCTGTCCCACCTGCTGGGGGGCCTTATCAGCGATTTCCAACACCGCCATTTCCTTCAACAGCTCAAACTCCCCCTACTCGTGCACCACCTGTGGGGCAGCCACCATTTCAACCTCCGGCAAGTCAAGTAGCAGCTCCACCAGTTTCTTTCCAGCCACCGACACAAGTACCGCCAGTGCCAATGGGATCTCCACCACAAACTGTAAATTTTCGTCCATCCAGTGTGATTGCTTCTCAACCTCCATCAGATTCATTGTTTTCAGGGCCTCGACCCAATTTTCAGCCAACTTTCCCCCCTCCAGATTTATCTCATTCTGCTACCAAATCCACTTTCCAGCCACCTTTTCCTGGATATCCAAGCAAGCAGGCTGCAGTTTCACAAGCACCATCACCTTTTCCTGCTCAGCAAGGAAGTTTTATGCCTCCTCCACCAGCATCATCTTCTCCCTTTTCTAGTCGGCAAGGAAGTTATGTTCCTCCTCCACCAGTAGCAGCTCCCTTGGGCTACCAATCAAGGGACCAAATGCAACATCCGGGTTCTGCACCTCCTATTGGCAGCATCCAAAGCTTGACAGAAGATTTTAGTTCACTCTCTCTTGCATCTATGCCTGGATCAATTCAGCCAGGACTTGATTATAGAACACTTCCTAGGCCATTGGATGGTGATGTGGAGCCAAGTTCTTTTGTTGAGATGTATCCTATGAATTGCGATCCTAGATATCTAAGGCTTACTACAAGTGCTATACCAAATTCCCAGTCTTTAGTTTCAAGATGGCATTTGCCTCTTGGAGCTGTTGTTTGTCCTCTTGCAGAGGCTCCTGAAGGGGTACGTGTCTCAAGAATCAATAATAATTTACTATTAGGTGTACAATAGCTGCATTTTTTTGGAGACTCATGTTTTTCTTGTCAAATACTGTTTTTTCCTATTCAGGAGGAAGTGCCAGTAATTAATTTCGCTTCAACTGGTATTATTCGTTGTAGAAGATGTCGCACTTATGTGAATCCCTTTGTCACATTTACTGATACTGGAAGAAAGTGGCGCTGCAACATCTGTTCTTTACTAAATGACGGTAAACTCAGCTAACTTGGAAGCAAAGATATATTTTAGTGGTTGAAAGTGCAATTAGTCACATCGAGTATTTCTAGTTGTGACTGATGTGTATGGAATCCTTTTCCATGCCATACATTCTTTTTTTTTTCTGTTATCTGCATTATCTTTTCTTTGGAATGTCAAATATTATTGGAGGACAAGGATCTCTTGCCTCACTTATACAGACTTGCATTAACATATGTATCAGATTTCTGCAAGCTTGCTGGTTATGGGCATCTGCCCTTATCTTTAGTATTACATATCTCAATTTATTGGTAAAGTGCAAAATGCAAAATGCATTTTTTTCAATTGAGTTAATGATGAGAGTGGTATGGAGTTTCTCATATCATGTTAACTAACCGGTCTTTGTTGGCCATGTAATTTTTGTTTATTTTTCAGTTGTCTCCAATTGGTTATATTTGTGGCAGACTATATTTTCTTTTCCTTGGTAAATCTCCTTAATAGTTGGAATTACATAGCATTTATGCTTATTTGATTCAACTTTCATGTTCAGTTCCTGGTGAATATTTTGCCAATTTGGATGCTACTGGCAGAAGGATTGATTTGGATCAGCGGCCTGAGCTTATAAAAGGCAGTGTGGAATTTGTTGCACCAACTGAATACATGGTGCGGCCTCCAATGCCACCACTGTATTTTTTTCTCATTGATGTTTCAATATCTGCAGTAAGAAGTGGTATGATTGAGGTAAGCACTTCCTTTAAAGCAGTTGATTATTTACCATTTCATAGTGTGTTGTAATAAAGCATTGTGTTATTCTAATAGGAAACATATTGGAAAAGTTATCCATAGTCATGTGAATTACACTTGAGCAGGCTGCTCTTTTCTGTTCAGCTATTAGTGCTCAGTCTTAGAGCTCTTCAGCCATTCTGTATAACATGCTGGCTTGGGTTATCTAGTATTCGTTTGTTGTAAATTTGTACTATTTGAAAGTGGTAGATGGGCTGGCTTTGCCACAATATGATCTCAAACATGTCTATAAAGTAAAGCATGCAAGGTTCTTTTGCATTGCTATGGAATCGGTAGGGAGAAAAGAAATATGTGAGTTAGCCTTTAGCCCTGCTGCCATCATTACTGGGTGTGTCTCACACTGTAAAACTTGTTCAGGTGTTTGTTTATCCAGGTTGCTGTTAGCATTGCTCGATAATGGTTAATTAAATAAGTAATTTTAGGTTTGCATACTTTCTGCTCGGCCTTTTGGTGATAACATGTACCTTGATAGGCCACGCTGCTCTACTCTTTCTTTTCTTTATTCTCCTTATTATATATGCATGCTAATGGTTTCTGCTGACTCACAACATATCTGTTAGGTTGTTGCTCAAACCATACGTTCATGTTTGGATGAGCTGCCTGGTTTCCCCAGAACACAGATTGGTTTCATTACTTTTGATAGCACAGTTCATTTTTACAATGTGAAGGCAAGTGACTTGTGAGATTAGCAGAAAAGTTTTTCTGAGATGCCTCAAAATTTCTCCATATTTGCTGAAGCACTTTAAAATAACTTTTGGGTTTTTGTCTCTGCAGTCATCTCTTTTGCAGCCTCAAATGATGGTAGTTTCAGATCTGGATGATATGTTTGTCCCATTGCCAGATGATCTCCTTGTCAACTTGTCTGAATCGAGAAATGTGGTTGAAACATTCCTGGATAGCTTGCCTTCTATGTTTCAGGACAGTGTGAATGTGGAATCTGCTTTTGGTCCTGCACTTAAGGCAGCATTCATGGTTATGGTATGTTGTTTTCTCCAACATTGCTACTATAAGCATTTACCAATGATGAAATGCCTTTTAGTTTCTTGCTGATGATTGTATTGTATAATGGCTGTTTGATAACTGATTATTGCAGAGTCAACTTGGAGGAAAGTTGCTAATTTTCCAGAACACATTGCCTTCACTGGGAGTTGGGCGCTTGAAGTTGCGTGGAGATGATCTTCGTGTCTATGGAACTGATAAGGAACATATATTGAGATTACCTGAAGATCCCTTCTACAAGCAAATGGCTGCTGATCTTACAAAGTACCAGATAGGGGTTAATATTTATGCTTTCAGTGACAAATACACTGACATAGCTTCCTTAGGTACAAAAATCACTGTCCTGTATGACTTTCAGCTTAAAAATGATATTGAAGTTTAGAAGAGCTTTTAAAAATACTTGATGTCTCTTTTATGAAATTCAATTTAGGAACCCTGGCAAAATATACTGGAGGTCAAGTATATTATTATCCGAGCTTTCAATCAGGCATTCACGGAGAGAAGTTGAGGCATGAATTAGCCAGAGATCTCACTAGGGAAACAGCCTGGGAAGCAGTTATGCGCATAAGATGTGGAAAAGGTCTGCCGGTTCTTTTTATTTGTTGTTGAATCCACTTGTAACTCAATGCTACTATAATCCCAATGTAGCTAGGTTAGCTACATGATTTTTTCCCGTACAATCTCTATGCTGACATGGGCTAATGCTTATAGAAAAAACTATTTATCTATTTTTTTCCTTTTTCCCTATGATTTGGTGATAACAAAGCAGTTGATTCATGTCATTTGATACTTGCACCAGGGATTCGATTTACATCTTATCATGGGAACTTTATGCTGAGGTCCACAGATCTATTAGCACTTCCAGCTGTAGATTGTGATAAAGCATATGCAATGCAGTTATCCCTTGAGGAGACACTGCTGACAACTCAGACAGTATATTTCCAAGTCGCTTTACTGTATCCTTTAAGTGGATTGCTTTACTTTATCACTTTTAGTTTATTGGGTTATTCCCTTATTGCTGAACTGACTGTATTTTTAGAAGTAGAAAAGGATATGGTTTAATGATGTTTCTTTAACGATTTAAAGATACACTGCATCCTGCGGAGAGAGGCGTATCAGAGTACTTACTGCAGCTGCCCCTGTTGTTACAGATCTGGGGGAGATGTACCGCCACGCTGACACTGGTGCCATTATTTCTTTGTTTTGTAGATTAGGTAACGTTAAACAAACACCCCTCTGCAAGAGCTGCTATTTGTTTCAGTGGATCTTAGTTTCGGATGGTCCTTATATTTTGTATTCAACTGATATTTGGCAGCAATTGAGAAAACTTTGACCAATAAACTGGAAGATGCTAGAAATTCTTTGCAACTAAGGATTGTAAAAGCACTCAGAGAATACCGCAATCTCTATGCTGTGCAGCATCGCTTGGGAGCTAGGATGATTTATCCAGAGTCTCTAAAGTTTTTGTGTTTGTATGGATTAGCACTCTATAAATCAGTACCTCTGAAAGGAGGATATGCTGATGCTCAGCTTGATGAACGCTGTGCAGCAGGTTTCACCATGATGGCATTACCTGTTAAAAAGTTGTTGAAGCTTTTATATCCTAGCTTGATTCGAGTTGATGACCATCTTTTGAAGGTGAAAAGATTTTGTCCCTTAGAATTTATTTTGATGAAGTTGTAGATTTTGCAAACCTAACATCATTTCTCTGTCATATATGTAGCCATCTGCTCAAGCTGATGATTTCAAAAACATTATGAAGAGATTGCCTTTGGTTGCAGAAAGCCTAGATTCAAGAGGCCTTTATATATATGATGATGGCTTCCGCTTTGTTATATGGTTTGGTAGAATGCTTTCACCTGATATAGCTAGGAATTTACTCGGGGCAGACTTTGCAGCAGAATTATCAAAGGTACGATTAGAGTTGGCAACGGGGCGGGTTTTTCCTTGTCCTGAACCCGACCCAATTTTATATTCATTAAGCCCGAATCCGACCCGAAATTAATAAAATATTATTTTTTAAAATATAAAATATTATTTTTAAAATATAAATATATAAATATATAAATAAATAATTAAAAAATAATTTTTTATATAATATCGGGTCGGGGCAAGTCGGGTTTGCCTAAAACCCGAATCCGACCTGAACCCGATTTTTTCTTAGCCTTACTTGACCTGACCTAACCCGAAACTTGATTTAAAAAAAAAAAAAATCGACCCTATGAGGTTGGGTCGAGTCAAAACCTATCAGGGGCGGGTTAGGTTGCCGACCTTAGGTACGATTTCTTCTTGGTGAAGCTATTCTTATGGAGATCGTTGAATGTTATATGTTTCATATGCTTTAGTGACCATTTTATGTATAAAGGATACCGATATTGTTGTTAGGATACAACATATATAGGATTTAATGCTGGCCTTATGTATGAACTCTGCCTTGAGTAGGATGTGAGTAAAAAATTCGGAATGGTCTTGTTATACAGTTTCTAAATATTTATAAATGAATGTCAACTGCAATCAATGACTGGCAATGTAATCTTGCTATGGAATATGCTTTGCTTGTTTTGATGGTTCTTTTGTATTTCGAAACCTTATTGTACATGTGCATTTTTTCCCCCAGATAATCTTATTTAAAGTTAATCTGTTCCTTTGACCTTTCTTCGGCCCGCTGCACCATGATGAGGTTTGTACTTAATTCACCTGTTTATTTATATTTGCACTTTAAAAAATCAGGTTACCCTTAGCGAGCAAGATAATGAAATGTCAAGAAGGCTGATGAGGACATTGAAGAAACTAAGAGAGAGTGACCCTTCCTATTATCGACTTTCTTATCTTGTAAGACAAGGTGAGCAACCCAGGGAAGGTTTGCTGCTTCTTGTAAATCTTCTTGAGGACCAGATGGGCGGTCCAAGTGGTTACGTTGATTGGATAATGCAAATACACCGGCAAGTCCAGCAAAATGCATGATATATAGGTAATATTTTGAGCTTATGTACAACTATTACTCCTTGCATTTGGGATATTTTTAATCTAGTTTTAGCTGGAAACAAGCAGGTTTTTGATTAAGCAGAATAAAACCATATGGTCTCATCAAACCTCAGAGTTAAACAGTGTCCAAGTTAGGAGCTTCTTTTTATGGAAAAAATTGCTTGAAATTAGACCTTGTAATTTGTTTATTTGTATCGTATAAAATACTAAAAATTCATATATTCATGTCTTGTTTTACACAAAAATTATGTCACAATTCGTGTTGACATAAAAACATAAAATATATATTTTTGGTTTTTATTAAACTTATTTATAATTTTTATTAAAATTTTAAATCGTATTATTTTTACGTTTTTATTTGTATTATTTTCATGTTATATTTGAAATTATCAAGTCTACTTGAAATGCATCATAACTTGCTTTTGTTTCTGATTACTTCAATTTCGCAGGGGTTTACGGCCAAGTTGATCTGTTCTCTCGGGTGTCCATGTTGAACAGATGGAACAGATCACCCGGAAGCTTCTGAGAAAGCAAAATTTATCTGTTGATTACAAGATTCAATAGCTAGGGGAAGAGTGCAAAAACAAATTTAAGTTTTTTGTATGTGACTGTTAAAGTGATGCCAACAATTTTTGTGTCATATTTTTATTTTCTTTTTTTTTTTTTATAATCCTTAGGCTTTTTGTTTAGAGAGTGGGGTGACCAATTGCTAAAGCATTGGCTGGATATTTTTCGATGTTAAATATACTTTAAAATTTTAAGGCTGTTTTATTTTCTCATTTTCGGTCAGTTTTAAGTCTTTAATAATTTAAAATACGATATAGTGATATGACATAAAAATGATACCAATAAAAAATATAAATGTGATATAATTTAAAATTTTAATAAAAATTTTAATATATTTAATAAAATTAAAATTTTTTTTATATTTTTGCATCAATATAAATTATTTCATATAATTTGCTTAAAAGATTATTTAGATATATAAATTATTATTAGTTTACATGATACGAATATATGAATTATCATATTTATATTTTATTTATCAAATTTTCTCCTCTCTGATTGTCAAATTTTACTAAATTTTATTGCTAATATGATTTTTCTAGGAGGAACAACCAAGAATATATCTCATCAAATCAGAATACTATTTTTTTTTTTTCAAATTTGGCTCCACATTTTTAGTTTTGAAGTTTTAAGATTTCGTTCAATATATAAATAAATAAATATATATATTTTAATGGTTCAAATATTTATATTTTAATGAATTTATCTTTTTACAAATTTTAATATATTTAAATTTGAGGTAATTAAAAAAAATAAATTCTCTTATCACTTGAATTAATGCATGATAATGATTTTATTGTTCTAACTGGTTATGTGTGATTTTGTTATGCATTTTTTCCAATCACGTGTATTTTGCAAATCTTGTTAGCATAGTTAATTATTGGTTAATATGATATTAAAAAAAATGAATTATTTGTTATTCTAGTAATATTTTATCCTTACAAATCAATAGTGAGAAACATATAGGTAAGTACTAAAAAAAATAAATTATTCTAAATATTTAGTATAATTTTCCTTCTACATTTTATACAGTCATATGGTACCAATTATTATTTTATTTTATTTACAAATCAACTCTTGCCTTGCTGGAAAAAAAAAAAAGAAATAAAAGAAAAAGACAAGAAAAAAAAAAAAAAAGAACTGCGAAGTCAGTTACTTAACCTCGTACCGATGTAGCTCATGTTATTACTTACAAATGTTGGTGCGGATGACTTGTCTTTGATTTCTTCCAAAACTCTTCAAATTTCAACATCTGTTCCAGAAGGGTACTTTCTGCTTTTCCTCTTTACCTTTAGCATGGTTTTATGTTCTGTCTGTATATAGCAATACCCTTGTCTTGTCTTCTTCTAATCTGAACAGTAATCCCATTAAAATTTCCATTTCCTTTCTGATTATCAAAAATTGATTGATTGATTTTGCTTTATGCACATACCTTCTGGGGTTCTCAAGATATGAAACTTTTTCTTCTTTGAATCTTGTTTTTCATGTTATTTTTGTTCCTTTTAATATACAGAACTTCCCTGGTTTGAAATCTTGTATCAGGCTCAAGTTTGCTAATTTGGTGATTTAGAAAAAAAAATGAACCCAAATTGGGAAGAAGCGTTGAATCACCTGGAAATGGTGATTGATAGTGGTCCTGAGGCCATGCGTATAAAAGCCATATTCAAATTGGCTCAACTATCAAATCATGCCCCGGTATCTATCTTGGGCAGTGCCGTGCCGATTCTTGCTAATCTTATTGCTGATCACAGTTCGAATAATTCAAGTCTTTATCTTCAAGGAGTGGTTGTTTATTGCTTAAAATGTATTGCTCGTCAGGGAGATGGCAGATTGGCCACTGAGATAGGCCAATCTGGTGCTTTGCTTTCGATATTGAGGTTGTTGCCAGAATCCGGTGGTAGTTTTCAAAGAGTTGCTGTGAAATGCCTTTGGTGTCTTGTAAATTTGTGTGATGATAATCGGGTCATTGTTGCTATGAATGGTGGTTTGGAGATTATCGTTAACATGTTAAATTCATCCATGGGTAGTGTAAGGCGGTACTTGTTGGAGATTTTGAGTGCATTATCATTGTTGAGAGTGGTAAGGAGGGGACTTGTTGGCTTAGATGGGCTTCGGTTTCTTGTCGAGGCAGCTAGTTTTGGTAACATGCTATCCAGGGAAAGAGCTTGCCAAGCAATTGGGTTACTTGGAGTTACAAGGCGAGCTCGGCGTATGCTTGTTGATTTGGGTGTTATACCTGTGCTTGTGGAGTTGCTTCGAGTTGGAGACAGTGGCACAAAACTTGTGGCAGGCAATTCACTTGGAGTGATTTCAGCTCATATTGATTACATTGGTCCGGTTGCTCAAGCTGGGGCTATTCCATTGTTTGCAGAGCTTATTCAAGGACCTGAACCTCTTGGTCAGGAGGTTGCAGAGGATGCATTCTGTCTATTAGCTGTTGCTGAAGCAAATGCAGTTTCAATAGCTGAACACTTGGTGAGAATACTCAGGGAAGGCAATGATGAAGCAAAAGCTGCAGCGGCTAATGTTTTCTGGGATCTGTCAGGTTACAAGCACTCAGTATCTGTTGTTAGAAACTCAGGTGCGATTCCCCTTTTGGTTGAGCTTTTGGGGTCTCAGAGCAGTGAAGTAAGGGAAACTGTATCAGGAGCTATTGCTCAGTTGAGTTATAATGGGGCAGATCAAGAGGCACTAATTGAATCGGGAGCTGTTCCTCTTCTCCTTGAATTGTTAAATGCTGATTCAGAGGAGCTGAGGGATAATGCTGCAGAGGCTCTTATCAATTTCAACGAGGATCCACTGCAGCATGAGAGAATATCTCAAGTAGTTGACCATCCTTCATTCCGGAGTATGCAAGACAGACTCACCAGAATTCGTGCTTCGGATAATCAGACGGTTCGTTCTATGAGACAGATGACTATTGAGCAGCTTGACAGGGAGGCATGATCTTGTCTAATTGTCTGCTTTTTGTATGGATATTAGATTAATCTCCTGCCTTCATGGATCTTGCATTTTGATAACATTGTTCTATAGTTTTTCGAAATCAAGTCAATAAACAAAGTACTAAACTGAAGTTGGCATATTTCTAGTCTTGCAAAACCAGTTAACATCAAAGGCTTGATCCATCTCCAATTAACATCAGTCAATCTTTTTCTTCACTGTTTAAAGCAGAACTTAAACACAAGGGAGCCTAAAGATATAGGCCTAGATTGGACTCAAACTCTGGAGATTCACAGGCCCTTTATTCAATAGCAACTGGACGTGTAGTTGCGGAAAAGCTTTAGGCTTTTAGTCCTAGATTCTAGTTAGAACTGCAATATGGCTTTAGGCCTGTGTTAGCAATTCTTTGGTTGTTGAGGACATAGACCAATTCCAAAGCAATTAATTTGCAGCTTGTGTTAGTAATTGTCCACTTTGTGATTATCAATAGCCTGCTTTAACTGTTACATTGTTGCCACCTACGTTTTAATCACCTTATCCCATATTCCATTTTGTTTTTTAATGTTGTCAAATAAACAATTTGAAGCCCTTGCTTTTCTGCATGTACCTTTGCATCAGCAATGATTTGTTAAGAGCTGCCAGGAATTGAACTCTATATCTAACCAATACACATGATCTTTCACCAATATGACACGGACTTTTAATGTGTACTGTTTGCCAACACTATCACCATTGATATTTGAGGTCTCAGACAAGAGAAAAGCTCAAAAAAGTTGCACCACTCAATTCTACTCTTCAATGATTTTGCTTGGCTAAAGCTAGATACTTGACAAATTGCATGAGATAACTAGGATGGATTGGGTAGGCTGCTTTTGAGCTTGTGCCCACTCTTCCAACATTTAAGTTTCAAAGACTAGAGAATTCCAACAAGAAGAGCCACAAAACGAATCCAATAAATATAGCTTTCTCCTGCCATGCCATTTCTATCCAACAACTTACTGACAAAACAGAAATGGAGAGAGAGAGAGAGAGAGAGAGAGAGAGAGAGAGAGACTCTTCTTTATTCTCCATAAAATGGGTTCCATCGAGAAAAACATCAACTTCAAAGGCCAAAACATATTCTGTTCCAACACTTGTCCTGCTTGGACATCCTCAATCTCCACTTTCATTTTGCCCTCTCAACAAAAGTGGAAAGAGAATGTTGAAAGGTGAATAATATAAGATCCCACCAAATCCCCCACCAATAAGGTGCACCATTTTCTCCCAAGGCCAATAGCTCTTGGCAACAAGCCGACAGAGCATCAACCATCCTTTTATTCTGCAATGAGAAACCCTTCCAAATGCTACATTCCACCTCGGTTTGGATTTATTTCCCACCCTTTTCTTCATATCGTGTACTTTTTACCCCAACAGATTGCTACATAACTCTGCCTTGTTGGATTTTGCATCTCATCGGCCGATTCTACCCTTTTCTTTTACATCATTGAGAATCAGTTTAAAGGGCTTACATTGAATAGATTAACGATTTCAAAGCTTACCAATGTCCTATATATAGGAATAGAGCAACATCAGACCAACTTATAGAGCATTGATCTCCCCCGTACATTTTGCTGATGGGAAGGCAGAGTGACCCGGCTGTTCATTCATCCATTGCCCTCCTGCGAGAGAGGTTCAGACAGTTGCAGAGAGCCAAGGAAATGAGGCAGGAGAGAGAGGTCTTGCGGCTGCTCTCTGAAGCAGAGCGGATCAATCCAGCCATACCTCATGAGGCATCCCAGTTGTTTTTCCATTCTGAATTGATCCTTCAGCCTAGACCGCCTCTCCAAGGATCTCTCAGCAGTGAACCTAGCATGCGTAACATGCATACTCAGCGTCAGGTTATTGAGACTCCAAGTTTGTCAAATTTACGGCCGAGAGATACTGTCATGCATACATCTACCTTGAATGATTCAGATGTTGACACTACACTTCATCTGTGAAAAATTGTACAATGTTGGTCTAATCTCATATTCTGGTTACTTTCTCCCGTTTTTCAAGTTCTTATCACTTCTTATGGAGCTGTAAGAAATTTGGAAAGGGAAAAGGGGGTTGTTCAGGGGAAATGAGAGAAAACAAATAGTGTAATATAACTACTGTCCATTGGGACTCTCATTATCCTGTTTATAATCAGCAATGACATGGTGATCTGAGATGTCATCCTCTTGCCTCTTTTCAAATGTATCTTCATCGTGGTTAACATTATTTGAGTCTTCATCACTGCTCCATTTCCTCTTCATGATTTTTGGAATCATCGAAGTTACTGCAGTGGCATCTAATAACGCTTCCTCATTGTTTACACGTTCAAATCGAACAGCACTAACTTTTCGGGCATTTCCTGCTAATATCTGCACCGAAGACAAGTTGCCCAAAATAATGTGTTAGTGATATAGCTGATCAAGTTTTGGCCTCATCTGGCCTAATATGTTTGTCGGATCAATGAAATATTTGCAGGAAAATGTAATAAAATTTGGAATCAATAGAAAACTCAGACAGAAAAGCTGTCTTTACGTAACAAACTTAAGTTAAGCCTTTGAAAAAGAATATAAGAATGAGAGGAACTCTTGGATTAGTAAAACCAGCCGTTATGTCATGTGCAGCAGCAGTAATTTGAAAAGGCTACAAGAAGAAGAGATGCCATGATGAGTGCTTATCAGTGTTTCCTTCATAGAGGTTTTACTGAATTTCATTCAGCTGTATGTAACATACATATGTTTATGAGCATTTTCTTGAAGGTGTAGCATTCTTGTTCGGTTTCATTCTGATTGAAAATGACAATCAGTCTCACAATATCTCAGAAGAATATCACATTTGAGTGATTTGGCTGAAAAAAAGGAGATGGATCACTTTGCTATCACCATTAAGGTAGAAAACACTGATTTATAAGGATAAATATCACAGTGACTAAAGTTCATTCCCGAGACTAAATATTGACATTCAACTGTTGTGACCTTGGTTCGGAGATTCTAATTCATTCATAATCCAGATGTCATATATTCTAACCGCATTCATTCTGTATGTTTCCCAACTACACTCCTTTGAGGAACATTTATAAACAATGACATTACAATGTACTCAGATAATTGTTACATTATTCAAAAGCAATGTTATGCAATATAAATGCATATGGCATAAAGGTTCAAACCATACCTCAAGTTTATAAATTTGGCGCCTTTCCTTCAGATCTTGGCGATCAGATCCAGCTTCGGAATTCTCATCATCATCTTCTTCGTTTTCCTTTTCAAGGACTACCTTAATACTCTCACCTGTCCTTGGTATATATCCAAATGTCTCGCAGACAAAACCTGACACTGTCTCATATTGATGTTCCTGTAAAACAGCAAAAGCAAAAAACATATATGTTGAGAATTCCTGTATAATTGACAAATAGACACTTTATATATGTGGATCCAGTTCTTCATACTGTGAGGGACGTCCGATTGATGGTTCCTTTTACTCTAGCATAGATATTAACGGAAGAACCTCTGTTTTAACATCTGAATGCATGTTCATAAACATTTCAACTATACTAGCAGAAACTTGCAAGTAGAGTGAAGACTTATGCATTAGGATTTATATCAATAATAATGAATAATACAAGAAACATCCTCTGGCATTTTGATGTTAGATCTTCAGAAAGTTGATCAATAGATGTATTAGCATCAACATCAAAGATTCCCTGTGCTCGCATTACAATGTAGCCGTTTTCTTCTGGATCTCCTCCTGTCATAGCAGGAAAATTAAAAATATTTAAGACCCACAGAAACTTGAAAATAAATTCCACAAGCTAGTTGAGGTCCACATATGCATTGATAGCGATAGTCATGAAATACATATTACTTAGATCCTCATTTCCGTTCTCCAAAATCTTGTGGAAAGTGAAGACATGCAATGCCTAACATACTTACACGATGATCAAAAACACAAAATAGGGAGATTGTAGGATAATATAAGAAACAAGCAAAATCAACCATTGAAGCATAAAAACTTGAAGCAGATTTAATTATTTTACTCATTTTGGACTCTTCGACAAGTTTCACTAACATCCCCTTATTTTGGAATAATAAAAGCAGCATTTCAAATAAATATAAATAATTAGAAAGTAAAGTATGTAGCAGAAGTCATTGATAAAGTCATCAAAGATGTAGCAAGCCTTACTTTTGAATCACTTTCATCGAAAATCTCACCAACAATCTCCTCAACCACATCTTCCAATGTGACTATCTGTTCCATCATAAACAATGAGCTAAAAGAATATACAGTGGGTAATCCAAAAGAGAGGGCGTGAGGGTCTAAATGCATATTAATTGTTGCCTGTTGGGGTTTGCTAATATTTGAACATATTGATACTCCACTTTCAACTAATTTTTAACAACAGATAAAGGGATTTTGGAACACTTGACAGCTCATTCAACTTTTCAACTGCAGGTAAACTTTTCCAAGTTCAATCTCATATTAATTTGAATAGAAAATCAGTTAAAGTTATGCCATACAAATCAATGATGCTATTTCACGTGGGTATAGAAACACATGATTAGCTATGCTACGGAGGCACTTCCACATAACACCTTAATCTGTCAAAAGTGCATTCTTAACAAAAAATCTATCTGACTTTGAGGTTCTTCAACAGGTAAGATAATTGCAGGAGTACAACTCTAAATTCAAGATCAATTCAGAATTTTAGGTAAAGCACGTAACTCCGACGGGTTCCACCATATTCATTAAGACAACAGCCATGTGAACCTTCCTGATGCGAAACTCTCTAAGAAGATTCCAGACTGACATTGAATCTGCAAAACAAATTGACATTCTATTGTAATAGCTTCTCAGAATATAATCTATAGGAAATGCTGACAAAACATGTTAATGAATTGGTAATAAACAGAAGTAACAGCCATCAGTTGGCCTAATGCGTACCGAGATAGAAAGATAAAATTCAACTGCACATTAACTCAAAGCACGAATCATCAATAGAAGCAAATTAAGATTAAAATTACCAGGCACAAAGTATGGCAGGCCTTGTGAGCCATATCTCCAACAGTAGTACTTTCTAGCAGTTCACCCTTCAAAATCAAACAGATTATAATTCTGCACACTATGATATTGTCACATACATTAATAAGCAAGTCTTATGGATGATAAGAAAAAGAAAAACTAAGAGCAGAAATTTTCTGACCTTTGGAACATAATCTAGTAGATCCATAGCATA